ATGGTGGGTGAAAATTCACAAAGTTGATTGCTCTTGAAAGCAGTTTTAATAGCTTTAAAGTTCATTTATATAAGTCACTTAAGAGCTTTTAAAGAAAAGCACTTGTAAATGAAAGTGATTTCACAGTCAGCACATAAACAATTAAGATGTCACTGGACATGGGTTCCGGCTTCACCGTGAAACTAGCTGTGTGACTAGGGCAAGTCACTTAAGTTACCCTACAACACAAAGTGGATGAAGTTAGTGTCTGGCCTGGAAATCTTCCTCAATCCTCCCATGTTTCTGGTGAAGAAATGTGTTCAGAGATGTAACGTGACAACCAAAGTCACAGCTATGCTGACAGCAGTTTCACTATGAATCACCAACTCCTCTTCCCTCAGTACAATGTGTAGCGTATGATCACACAGCCTACCTATCTTCTAAACTGGAAACAAGACAAAGAAAGATGGGAGGGGCGGGAGGAGGAGAAGCAAGAGGAAAACAAGGAGCAAGAGGGAAGAAGCAAAAAGAAATGCAGTAATCGTGTTTACAGCTTTTTCCCATACGTATCAAGCAAATAAGAAAACAGGCAATTTATTGATGTTCAGTCCAAGGAAAGATGTTAGAGTTCAAATCCTCACTTACCACCAAACAAACAAGCAGCTATTCAGAATCAGCTTCGCAGAAGTGTCTTTATAGTATGGCAGCTATAGACACCGCCTTACATGGAGCCAGTAGTAGCTCTATGTATTTTAAATTATATATTTAGTTAAGTGGCCAACCATCACTAACTTTCCCCCCACCTGTAAGCAGTTTTCTAAGAAGCATATTTAGTACTTCTTTTCTTCTCTTCACAATTCTACAATCTAAGCATTATCATCCTCCTTGTTTCACAGCTGGAGTCTGTGATTGTTTCCCAAAAGTTACCATCACGTCAAGTGATGGAAGTGGGATTTACACCCTGGCCTGTGGGTATGTACTTGTTTAACCCAATCGCACCAGGTAGTCCTGCTCCAAGGAACATCAGGACACTGAACAAGGATATTTTTTAGACTCTATTGTGAGTCAGGGTGTTCTAGTTTCTGCAAACACTTTATTTTCAATATTCAATAATTATGGCATTTTTTTTAAAAGGAAGTTTAAAGAATTAAAAGAAATTTATAAACATCTACATTTGCGTTAATGTATGAAATAGATTTTTTGACACAATAATTCTGTGACATAATGGGTTAGTTGATTTTCCCATATTAACAAATGTAGAAGCTCAGAGCCTGAGAGATTTAGCAAAATAAATAAATAAATTAATTAATTTTTAAAAATACAGGCACCAGTTAAATTTGAATTTTGATTAAAAATACTTTTTTTAGTGTAAATATATTCCAAATATTGCATACTTATACTAAAAATTCTTTGTTGTCCATCTGACATTCAAATTTTACTGGGAATCCTTTATTTTACCTGGCAACCGAGCAGAGAAGTGCCTTAGCTTAGGTCATAGACTAAAACCTACACCTTCTGACAAACTTTGCCACGTGGTGTTACTGCTAGATATTATTGCCTAGTTACCTGCTTAGAACTCCTTCCACATGTCCACTTCATATTCCTTGTCAACTAATTAAAACCTCAATTATGTTCTTTAATTTCTCACATGAAGACAAAGATGGATTGAGGCAAAATTATTCTAGTTGATGCTCACTCTTTTAAAATGCCTACTGTTTTGTATTTTCGAAGTACTTTTCATTATACTATCTAATTGATTACAAAAACCTTCAGAAGATAAACTGAGAGTTAGGGTTTATATTTTTCACATTTGACAACTAAGGCTCAGAAAATTTAGGAGTCCCAACACAGTTTCTCACAGCTAATAGGGAGATATGAGCCTGAGGTCCAAATCTGGTTATGTGAAAATCCAATTCAGTAAAAGTGACATATATTCTATTTTCACTCAGGTTTAAGATAATTAATAACATTTATAGTGTATTTTTGACCTTTGCGTTAACAGACAGGAATCAGGAGTGAGCTACTCTACATTATTTTGGCCCATTTCAAAATAGAAAGGCTAAAATCTGAGAGAAGGGTATGGTTTACTGAGAAATTTTAAAAAAAACATTTCATTTTTAGAAAGCCTTTAAACTTAACAAAAGTGTCAAATGTGTTGAAAACATGTCAGCATAAACAGAGAGTTCCGCTTTTAAATTATATATCGTCTTAACGTCTTTGCTACAGTGACTAGTGACTAGGTTTTATTGTATCATTATTATCATAAAAGACAATTCATTCAGCCTTAGAAAAGAAGGAAATCCAGCCATTTGTGACGACATGGGTGAACCTGGAGGACATTATGCTAGGTGAAATAAGCCAGAAACAGATACTGCATGATACCACTTACATGAGAAATCTTAAGTAATCTAACTCATAAAAGCAGGGTATGATGGTGGGTGCCAGGGGCTGGGGGAATCGGGAAACAAGGACCTTTGGGGACACAGTGTACAAAGTTTCCGTCATGCGAGATGATTAAGTCCTAAAGATCTTCGGCATAGCTTTACAACTATAATTAACAACACTGTATTGTATGCTTGAAAATTTGCTAAAAGGGTAAATCTTATGTTAAGTGTTTTTATCACACAAAAAATATAATAATAAATAAGAGGGTGGGAGGAAACTTTTGGAGATGATGGCTAATTTTGTGGCATCAATTATGGGGACAATATCACAGGTGTACACTTATCCCCTAACTTATCCATTATGAACGGCTTTTTGTATGGTAAGCAATAAGTTTAAAAAATAAAATAAACAGAACAACTCAGTAACAGACTCACTAAAATTGAAATTGCATTGAGTGTATTCCATACCAGTCAAGAGAGCCATTTTAAGTAACCTCCTCTAACAGGTAAATGAACTCAGCCCACGAGACAGTCCATGAATCAATTTGTCTGCCAAAGCACCGCTCGGAAGGCAGATATAGCAGGAAGGCCAGGGTTGCTTCCACAACTAACGTTCCAACGGGCCACGTGGATTCAGCTAAATTAAACCTTTAAGGATCTTTTCCAAAATACAGTGGACAAATGTCAGCACATTTGAAAATATGTGAATAGGGTTTAAAAAAATTAAAGCCATCATCCTTGATTAGCACTTAAAATGAAAATATAGAAGATGTTTTATTAGTAAATTTAAAAGTTAACTGCCATTTGCAAAAAGAGCCATCGTTGAAAAGTGCTCATAGCACAACCTATCTCTCCTTCCACATTCTGACTCCAGTGTTCTCTCTCCTCTTCTCTTTGCTCTTCTCCCCGTTTCTCTGTTACAGTCCCCGTTTGTCTCTCTCTCTCTCTCTCTCTCTCTCTCTCTCTCTCTCTCTCTCTCTCTGCATCGATTTTCCTCTGGTACTGGGCTCTTTGTTTCTCATCATTATCAGTTTCTCTTATCTTTTCCTCTTTTCATTCAACTGCTCATATATGGATATTTATAATGAGGTAATGAATTTTAAAAGACTTAAAAGCTACATCATGTTGTAAGTTATTGATAAATGTGTTCTTACATTTGTCTATTATTAAATAGCCTATCAGGAATTCCTGTATTTCAAAATTATACTTATAAATGTTTTATAAGACCTGATATAACTTTAAGGTTTATTATATCAGGTTTATTACATGCATGACTAGTGTTGCTTCTTTCCCTTATATTATCTTATATACTAAAATTTTCAATCTCCTGATATATGATATTTAACATGGTTATAACATACGAGTATGTTAGAAAGGTTGCATTATACTGAACAGTATTTCTGTAAGTAGAAAATTTTGCTATTATAACCTATGTGATATTTTCCCCATACCAGATATTAACATTGGTATTTTATTAACTTGTGATTGTTTTTTCAATATTGAAATACAAAGTAGGCCTTCCCTAACACACTGGATTTCTGCAAAAAAATCAATTGACCTTACCATCTGGCATTTGCAATCATGCAGAAGTTATGCCTTTACCTGATTTGAGGGCTATTCAGTTTGATGATGCTGACATACTTTCATTCATTGCTATTGCCATAGAAAGCTATGTATTATCTAATTTCTATTTCACCCCATTTTCGTGGTTGTGAGTGTTTTATTTTGACTAATTCTATTTGTTTAACATGTAGAAAAACTCAAGTGTCAGGAAGAATTCTCCTCTGTACTGTTTAAAGTCAAATTACGCAGAATATATGCCATAACTCAGGCTATGTCTTTGAGAAAGGAAATTTATTTGTGTTTGTCAGCTTGTTCTAAAAAGTGGTGAAGTTAAAAACACCAACAGACTTTTCACTAAAAGTCATTTCAACAGGTTCTTAGGATTTACTAGTGATTAATTTTTCATGTTTGTTATAGATTTATTGTTCCTTATCCTCCTTCATAAGAATAAAAGACACTACAAAAGGGTTTATTCATTTTAATCTATAAAATATATTCATCTCATTGAATAAATATCATCACTGAGATGCCCTCAAAATTAATCCAGCCTTATACATAAGAAAGCTCTATTTTTATTGAAATTTCATTTCCTGTCATACTCATTTTAACAAATCCACATTCACTGATTAAAGAAAAAGCATCAACACTTTACACAGAACCACAGAACTGAAATCTGTAGAGAAATATTTCAATTAACTTCTAAAAATTTTATTCAATTCTCTGATGTGGACTCACCACTTGGTCCATGCTGAGCTGCTGGATCTTTATTCAGGGTTGTTTTAGGGTTCAGGACACCCTCCTGTTCTAGGTACACAGATACCTAGAACTCATGCTCTCAGAGCAACCTGGCCTGATTCCAGGTGCTAACGCCCCAGCTGCTTCTCGGGTGTTTTGGTGGAAAGTGATTATGGTAGATATAGAACCATGTGAGCAGAAATCCACTTTCCTTGTAAAAAAACAGCATGATAACTATCTTTTTACTTACAGTGTAGGAGAAGGTAACAGTGTTCTCAAGAAACATTAAGACTGCTCCTTAAATTTTATCTGATACCTATTGAATCTCCCAGCACTTACCTGGATAATACCGGGCCAGGCCTGTGGCGCTGCCAAACACCTGCCACAGCAATGAAGGGTCTTCATCTCGATTTTTTTTGAAAACTTCGTCTAAGGCACTTGTCCAGTTGAGTTCATTTAACACAATTGTTGCTAAAAAAATAATAATAATAATAAAGAAAAATCAATACAAATTTATAATTAATAACTGGATCAATCTTCATTTATTTGCAAAATAATGTTATGCATTTTCATTGCTTTACCTATAAAAATACTCTCATCCAGTGGCTATCAAAAGTTTAGACATGAAATTATTTTTTCAAACAAATTTTGTAGGACAGTGGCATTTTGACATTTTGTGCTGGGCAATTCTTTGTTGTGGGAGCTGCCCTGTGTTTTGCAGAACTTTTAGCAGCATCTCTACCCACTAGAACTGTCTCCGGACATTGTCAGGTAACCCCTGGAGGGCAAGATTGCTTCCTGTGACTCTGATAATAAAACAGACAACAGCTCTTCTGGCTGAGAAGGGGTAGGAGGCAGGAAATCCTCCCCTTGAGGTGGTTCTGAAGAAACCGAGGGGACACCTCAGGGCACAGTGCGATGACCACCATCTTAACTATTAATGATTCTGTGTGATGTGCTGACATAATCTGGTTTGTTACCTGAGTTGAAGAAAAAACAAAAACAAAAACAAAAAACAAAAACAAAAACAAAAAACACATGTCTGTCATTATAGTTCAGTAAGTACGTTTATACAACAAAAAATGTGTACACATTTACAAAGAAAAAATCATTCAGAGGTTTGACAATATCAGTGTCAGAAACAGGAAGTAGCTGAAACTTTATCACTACCTTTATGAACAATAGTTTTCTTTTTTCTGGTGAGTTGAATTAATATTTAGAGCATAGTGCTAATCAGGATCAGGTCACTGATTTTGATACCTACTTATAACAGCTGACTGACCTTATACGGGTATTACAAACATACGCCATTCATTAGAATGAAAGAGAAGCACTATAATGCAGGATATAATATGGGTTAAAATAGTATATAATTTATACTTATGAGCCTCCATGATTATAGCATCCTATGTCTACCATATTAAATATTTAAATGTCTTTTTCTGTAAACTATGTACCATGCCTCCAGCAGATTAGCATACCAGGCCATGCTGCATTTGAGAATCTGTGACCAAGCCTAAAAAGTGGAAATTAACTTGCGATAAGGACTGGAGATACTGTTCAACTTTTATTCTTTTCGGTAACCACAGCAAATAAAGGAAGTGGATGAAATTATGGTTGAATCATGCCCAAGATTTTTAAAGGTTAAAAAAAAAAAATAGAGAGCTTCTATCAAGAAAGCTGTATGGCATCTGTGTTTATATATTAAAGTTTATCATTTACAAAGAGAAAATGAAAACAGGGTTTTGTAAAATTGTTCTGGGACTAGCATCTTAATGCATTTCTCATTATTGAAAACTAACAAGATTTTCATCTTTATAGACGTGATTACTTCCAGAAAGATCAGTGTGTGTGTGAATATTCATGAGCTGGGTCCAATTCATGGTGCATCTGAGAGACTAGTGAATTCATATGCAAAAGCATGATCCAATCAACACTAAGTGACCAGTTATATGAAAATTTATATTCACATAGATAACCTGAACTGATACTTTCTATTCATGAATATTTATAGTGATATACAAAACATTACAGAAAGAGTGACACTGTACTTTTCTTTAAACATTCATGAATTGAACAGTAATATTCACTGAACAAATGTTTATTTATGATCTAGATAGACTTCATTAATGCCCAATCTATTCTAACTATCTCTTCAATTTCCTCAACTCTTTAATTCACATTAAGCAACAACTGATATCTAATTATTTTTAATAAAGGCTCATTTATTTTCAAGGCTGCTAAATTTTTTCTTAAGTTTTATTTGAAAACAACAATTAAATATTAGGCTTTGATACACTGTGAATTATAGTTTTATGCACTTGGGGAAAAAGTGAAGCTCTGAAATATTCTTATCATAGGTGATTCGTTTTAAGATTTGCAGTTTCTAAATTTGAAAATTCTTTTTCAGATAAGACATTATTAAAGTAGATTTCAAATGTTTCTCATATTTGTTCATCTACAAATGAGCAGTGTACATAAATATTTGCAGAACAGGCAATTGAAATGATTTTAAATTTTACTCAGAATGAAAAAAAAAGGTACTACAGACCTATCACTTGAGCAAGGTTTGTCAACTTGATAGTGTGTAGCAATGAGTTGAAGATACACATACTTCCAACTGTCATTGTATATTAATAAAGACTTTTGAGTGCAATCATTGTCCTATTACTTGGAATCTTTATTTGAAAGTTCAGAGCGATAAATCAAAATTCAAAGTTGGCCACAGGAGTACAAAACTGGTGCAACCTCTCCAGAGGAGAGTATGGTGGTAGCTATCTATCAGTAACACACAGAGTCTTTAATCTAACAATTCTACCTCAAGGGATTTATACTATGAAGATTGTCTGGATCTCCAGCCCTTAATCAGAGAATTTTAGAGCAAGAGTCATTCAATTCAATCATACTGTTCAAATTTGTTAAAACACCAATATTACAAAGTAAACAAAATTACTGAACTAGGAACATTTTTTTCTCGAACTATACTGAAAACAACTAAAAATGTAAAAGAAAATATGTAAAGCATAAATATAAATACTATTTTAGATTCTTCTTGATTATTTGGCTATATTTTTCTGATTCACATGAATTACATTTGACTGATAACATATATTATTTTATGCTGAAATGAGCAGATTTCTATCTTCCAAACCTTGTAAAATTAAATACTAGTTTAATTCAGGATTCCCAAGGAGCCTGAAATTTCTCCATTTCTATGCTATTAGCATAACTCAGGATAAACAATACTGTATTAATTGGGTAATCTATAGATTATGGAATAACAAAACTAATGCAGAATTTTGGCCATACTGAAATAAATTTTTCATTTCCTGCATCTACTTTTTTCTCCTGCTGCTTTCACTATATCTGCACACACATTTCTCTCTCTCTCTCTCCCTCTCCCTCTCTCTCTCTCTCTCTCTCTCTCTCTCTCTCTCTCTCTCTCTCTCAAATTTGCAAGTAGAGTTTATTTAGGAAGAGGTTTTCAATTAACTATTCTGGCAATAACTGGGTAAAAGGCCAAGTGCATTTAAAAAGTTAGTTATTATTAGGAGATCTTTTGTTTTATATTACAAAGAGTTTATGTAGTCATGCGGTGCCTTTCTCTGGCCTCAGCTAGTATTTTTAGTCTTCTATTTTCCTAACACCATAGTACTTAAAATAAAAGGTATAAAACATGATACTTCTATGATGGAAAAAAAAGACCAAATTCCTTGGAAGATTATTCTCAGCAAATATTACTCTGGATTATGAAACTGTATTATTGATTCACATAAAGACATAACACTCAAAAAGTAATTGTGGCACTCTCACTAAAGTTCAACAAATTATAAGTAGGTTTCCATTTGTCACTGTATATTATAAACACTTTTAAAATGAAATTCTTTTTCAAAAAGTCACAATCTTTATTTGAAAGTTCAAAGCAAGAAATAAAAATTTAAAGGATTTTATTTAATTGATGAAATACTGATATAATTTAGTAGCCAAATAGTGTTTCATACAAGAATTACAGAATAAAATATATTTTTAAAACAACTTGAAATATTTCTTGGCCACAAATAAAATTTTAACTTTTATTTGGACAGATAAACTTAAGAACATGGATAACATTTCTGACTGGTTTTCTACAAATTGTTTAGTAATATTTAAAGCTATATTGTACTTTATAGTCTCAATTATATATTGTATATGTATTGAATTTTTTTTTTAACTGAGCCATCCTGCCACCTATTGGCAGCTCAGTGGCTGCTCAGCTCGGGCCGGGACTCAAACCGCTGTTGCTCAGAGCTCAAACTCTTGAGCAAGCTCTTAACCAACTGAGCCACTCGGCCGGCCCTGTATTGCATTTTTAATATGCTGTGTTACTATATTCACTCATGCTCTCCTTCTCCCCCAAACTCCCAAGATAGTAATGTTTTATATTCACACAAACTTCTAATTTCTTGTTTAAATGGAGATTAGAAGTATATGAGTGACATTTTTTTCACTGTGGAAGAGTGACTGGTCAATGGTGATCTAGCCATGAACCTACTGCCAGTGACTAATCAACTGAAGCTAAGTGTCTTATGGCTTCTTTAAGAGCAAAATTTGTCCTCGTTTTCTTTTTTCTTTTTCTTTTTCTTAATTTTTATAAGAGTTTACTTGTGCCAAAGAGACAACATATGTTGGAAAGCAAGATCAAATTAGTCCTCATTTTCTATCAACTTTTAAGAAATAAAGGTGTTTGTTAGCAAATTAGATTTTGCAAAAATACATCTTTTATGGATGTCCAAGGCTAAGTCTATTAAAAGCAGTGAATGCTGGGAAAGCAAACCTTGACTTTGGGGCCTCTATTCTGAATGGCATAACAGGATTTCACTGATAATTGATTCAGAAAGCCAAGCATACATCTCTATTCTTATAGTTTTCAAAAACATGGCCTTGGTGTTCAGCAATTCTCTCTTTTAGAGTACTCTATTGTTCAGTCAGGCTCCTCAAGGGAAGAAAGAAAAATCTAATTTGTAACAGAACAAAAGAAGCACCTTACATCTGCTGCTAATTCTGCTAAAATACACGACTTATATCTATAGCTTGCTTCTGACATGGAATACAGAATAGTTTACAAGTTCCGAATCAAATTTTCTTCTCTAAACTTCAACCCATAGAGTGTTCCATTGTTGCTCCCTTGTAAGTTTGAATACATTTTGTTGGCTTATTCAGGGTTCAGGGCCTCACCATGCATTAAAGGCACTATATGACTATTTGAAAAATCTTAAAGTTATTTACAATGTCAACTACATCATTCAATGAAGCAGATATATGTAGAAAAAAGAAGGTAGACATATTTGTTAGGATTTACTTAAAATATAAAATAACTTTGGTAAGTTTGTATCTAAAATATATTTTGTAAAACATAAAATAGCTTTGATAATTCTTTGATAAGACCTGTAGATAGATATTAAAGCTATATGTAAGAGACTGGATACTAAAAA